CGAAGGTTGATCAACCTTCGTTCCAACATATATATATATATATATTGTACTCTGTGTGGTTCTCAACAGAATAATGATTGTACTGTTCTGCGTACACATATCCATACATTGTCTGCTTCGCAATTGCCATCAAAGCCTTGAACAATTCAATATATCATGTTAACTAATATTGTCAACTGAATTAGGCTTGCCCTTGCTTCCACCAGTATAGCTACATTGTTGTAATGAGAAGTCAAAAGTCTGCTAAATTTTACTATTCATACACCACATCAAGATTTCCAGGGCACTCTGCCATCGTAATTGAAGGTAGATCCGTCCGTGAAACTCCTGGCTAAAATCGTCGTTTTCGATTCCCTAAATTGTTGTTTATCAAATTGACGTGACTGCATAACTTTGGGCCCGTATCCTGATATAGATTTTCAGCATAACATATATTGTATTGTTATGCTAGAAACGATGTCCGTGCATTTCCCACTTTTTTTAGCCAGCTATTATCGATATAAACCTCAAAAACTCCTATATTCTGAATTTGTCAGCTGATTTGTCAACTGATTTAGACCCACCTCTCCTTGCTTTGCGTGTGCTCAGCACCAGTATAACTATATCTGTTTGTCATGAAAAATCAAAATTCAATAAATGGTCCACAGCGGTGCTCGATCCTGGCCACTTAATTAAACTGTTCAATTGCTCTGCTGAAGTGCTATTTCCAGATTTCGATACAAACATCTTCGAGAATTCTGGTACCGCCTATGATATTTCCCGCTATGACTAACCAGGACATTCCAAATACATCAGTTTTTTGGTGTGTTATCCGGCAGCCTACAAATTCACTCTGAACCAGAATTGCGAATGACAAATTTGTCCTTCTTAATATCACATTCAAAGATACTCAGACTGACTCAGCCCATATTACCACTACGAGTATGGGCCAGCTTTATTTCACACTAAAACTTAGAAGAAGTTTTAGTTCTCACCCAATGATATAGGTGTTTTGTAATGTATCCATCGTTGCGAAATAACGCACCGTATGTCATCCATCACTACATCACTCGCCCCCGAGCTTTCCGCGACTGTTCGACAATCTTAACTAATGAAGCCTGAAAAGCCTGAAGTGAATGTAGACATGTACCCAAATTGTAAAAAATGATATTATCCCTATATTTTCCTCTCATACAATACTCCTAGATTTAACATCTGCTTGTCTGTGAGATATCTGGCGTAAATCATCGTCATCTATTTGATAGATCGCGTACAAATTTGATGTGTGCTCGTAGCTTTGTACCCGTGACTGATCCATTTGAGTGCACCAAACAGTTCCATATTGAAAAATATAGGATTTCACAAGTAGAAGCACGATCACACTCGCTCACGCAGATCTTCTATTGTTTGTTTTCATCAACTAAGTTAACTAAATTGACTGTTCTACTATTTGATATGCACCGTATGTTGTCGGTTTGGACCTCGCACGCGATACTGTGACGATGTGTTGTATTTTAGTCGCAGCTTGGTGACAAATACTTTGACTTTAAAACGAAAAATAATTATGTGATCCGCTATAAGTGTAGCTACATATTTGTCATGAGAAGTCAAAAGTCTGCTAAATTTTACTATATATTCACTGCACCTAGATGTACAGGCTAAGCTGCCATCGTTATGGTAGATCCGTCCAAGAAAAAAAATATCTAGCTAAAATCGTCGTTTTCAATTTCCTAAATTGTTGTACAACAAATTGACGTGAGCTCATAACTTTGGGTCCGTAGCCTGATATGATTTTCAGCAGAAAATTCATTGCATTGCTATGCTAGGATTTTCCACTTTCTCAATCAGCTATTGTCGATCTAAGCCTCTAGAACCCCCTATATTCTAAATTAATCAACTCTCCTTTCTTTGTCAGTGTTTAGCACCAGTATAACTACACGGTTCGTCTTGAAAATTAAAACAATTACAAATGGCCCAAAGCAGTGCTCGAATCTGCTAAGTTTTCCTCTAATACAATATAGCTAGATTTAACGGCTACTCGTTCGTGAAGTACCTGGCGTAAGTCATCGCCTTCGATTTGATAGATCGAGTATAAATTTGACGTGTGCGCGTAGCTTTGCCCCGTGACTGATCTATTTGAGTGGACTGAATCGTATTTTAGATATAAAATTGCGCTATTCCGTCAGTAGAAAAACAATTACACTCGGTCACGCCAATTTTCAAAAATTGCTTGTTCTCATCAACGAAGTTGGCTAAATAACTATTTGATATACAACATATGCTGTTGGTTTTAAGAGCATTGGCACACAATATTATGTAGTGTGATGTATGAAATTTTTTGACTTTGGAAAGAAAAATATTTCTTGGAACCGCTATACAGGTACCGAGTTCTTGATGCAGAAATATGAACTTAACCCCTAATCAATCCAGGTCATCAGTTGACTGTATTCTATGAATTGTGTAAAGGTAGCTATTTTACTATTTAACCTACACCCTATGTTGGCGGGTTTAGATTCACGCGCGACATTGCGCAGATATGATGTATTTAAGTCTCAGCTTGGTGACAAATAATTTGACATTGGATCGAAAAACAATTCTGCAAACTGCTATAAAGTTACTGGAGGTACCCCAATCCCGCTTTGGCTAGCCAGGATATTCCAATACATCAGTTGTGTGGTGTGGTATCGGACAGCCCCCAACTCCGCTCCGAAACAGAATTGCGGATGACATCCTCACTCTCCTTGGTATCACGTTCAAAATATCTCAGACCGACTGAGCCCATATTACCACTACAAAGGTGGGCCAGCTTTATACCACGCAATGGCGCACAGGTTTTAGTTCTCACTTAATGATAGAGGTATTATGTAACCATCGTCGTGAACTAACGCATCGAATGTCTTCCATCGTTGCATCACTCGCCCCGAGCTTCTCGCGGCAGTTCGACAATCTCAACTTCCCTTCAATTTTCCCAAAACCTCACCAACTAATATGAAGCCTGATGTACGTGTAGACATATAAAACTTTATCCAAATTGAAATAAATAATATTATCTCTATCCACCACCCTCTAGCGGGGTAGTGAATAGTAACGTACGTCTACTGGGGTCCGACGCTACGTTTTCCAATTACCCCGTTTTGTTTTGTTTTTGTTTTGTTTTTGTTTTTTTCCACCCCCCACCCGAGAAAAAAACCAATGGATGATCCGTGAAAATTTACACACATACACTGGGGGAGAGTGTAATTGACCAAAAGTGCAGAAGCACGCTGTAAAAACTGAATGTTATTGGAGTCGGCGATGTCATCCTGGAGAAACCCCTCTAAAAATGTTGATCTTTTATTTCTTGTCATAGACGGAATAACACGTGCTAGCACCTTCACCCTCTCTCTCTTTTAGAGCTGATTTAAAATCTGTGGGTAAGTTTATTCACGAGTTCTCTACTCGGGAGGTCATCCTGCCGCCCTGGCGTTTCATTGAGCTCAGACCAACTCGTGCTTCTCTGTTTGTTCTGATCATTGTCGTATTCATACAGCTGCTCTATTGAGATACTACCATCATTCAGAAACATATCCGTCTCGGATTCTGATCCTGTCGTAGATCTTTGTGGTCAGATATACCCATTAGGTTTTATTTACGGTATATTTTAAGAATTGGACGACATAAACCCAGTTTAGGGTTTATGATCCAAATCAGACACATGACCCGATAAACCAAAAGATAATCAGTTGTTATGCGCTTACGGCGCAAATGCTTTTGCAGTTAAATCATGAAGATTTTACAAATTTTTTGTAAAAGAGGGAATCGATGAGCCAATGGGTGAAGTCGATAAATAACACCACAGTATATATGAGAGTTCCGAGTCCCACGAGGATGCACAACTGCAGTTACAACCCGACCAAAAAAATTGCGCAATACCATCCGTCATGGACACCGAGGGAACCCGTACTACCAACGAAGAAACTATCAACACCCAAACCAACAAGAGAACTCTTCACCAGAGACGGAGAAGAACACTGGCCTACTCACCAAGACCAATGAGGTGGCTGCAAAGCCAAAAAAAAAAAGGCGGGGAGGGAGAAAGCACCAACGTCCGCTTTTAGGATCAACGTAGCCCAGCTGCAGAAAAAACCTGAAACTTTCGGCTTACCCACGATCACACCAGCCAACATCTAAGGAGTCCTTGGGAATACGCCTCTATAAGCGCCAAAACACGCCAAAACACGCCAAAATGTGCCTTGGGGTGGTGATTGTTTTACTATTAGAAACAGCGAAATAAGTTTTTCCAGGGTAAAAGACACCGTAGACTCCAACTAAACACTTTACATTATAATACTGTCGGAGCAAAATGTCGAGCTTACGTTTGGAATTTTTATATATAAGGTACATATATGAGCAAGCCATTCTTTGTGTTTGGAGTGCTTAATAGATTGCACCTGTGGCGCATATATCAACTTGTGCTCCGAGAAGCTTGACAAATGGGCTCTAAAAGAAAACCTCACGGTGGGTTTTGGGTCATACTGATCTCCGCGCTCCACAAAATCACTTTGTTTAAGGCAACTATGGGCACAACTGGCGCGACTCGTCACGGGTGATCTTGCTTCGGCATCCGCAATAATGATAAACCTTAAAAACTGTGAGGTATACTCAATAGGGTTTATTTAGGGGTTATTTTAAGTATTGGGCATAAACCCAGTTTAGGGTTTATAATGCAAATTAGACACATGACCCGATGAACCAAAAGATAATCAGTTAATATTCAATAAATAACGAACGACTTACCTTTGTAGAGGGGAGTACGTTGACATGTAGTTATTGACGCGTATTCACCACATCTTGCTCCTGAATCGGCACACAAATTGATGTTGTCATCTATGGTCTCTCTCGTACATTTGGAATCCCGGTTCTGGTCCACAAAGTTGGATTTGCTCTTATCTTTCTCCAAGATGTGAAAACCGTTTGATTCGACAGCAACATCTTCGAATGTAGTCTCACTATCCCTAGAGGCCCGATCTTTCTTCACTGCATTCCAACAGAAGTTGAAGAATGAGTGAATTGGTGCTCTCTCGCTATATATATCTTGAGTAGTTGATTCAACGGGCTGATCTAGGAATTGGCGTGGATTTACTAATTAATTTTGCAAATTAACAAGTGTGTGCACACCGCAGTCGAAATTGTCTTGGTTTGATACCTCAATGTGGATTTGAGGGGCTAATGTAAGTGAATTCTCGCTAGACCGATTAAAATTAAGGGTAGACTCAATCTTTTGCTTATTGTAGCATGATGTCGTTGAACCATATAAGCTATCCAGAATATACACTAGCATGCAAGGATCTACCAGTTGCTAATTCATCTCCAACACCACAGGGGACCAATGAACATAATCAGGATTTGCGATGAAAATCAGAAGCTGTATGCTAGGCAAGTCTACGCGCCGGAAGTGATTTAGATAGTTCCCCTTCTGGCTGGATCTAAAGTAAAGTGATATAACATTTTGCCATTATGTAGATATACACAGCAAGCAAAGTACCTTATAAAACCTATACAAAATAAATACCAAATAGCATAGAGAGAGAAACTTACCAGATGGAATTTCAATCCAAGGAAATGACTCTGACGAAACTGAACCGTTGTCATGCAACTCGTGTATCAGTTTGTTTGCAAACAATAGAGTCATAATATATGGCACATTGTTTGTTCTCTGTTTCATCGCATCAGTCGTGAAGCGCCTGCCGTATGACGAGTTCAAGTTCCACAAGCCTACCTGAGAATTGTCTTAGCTATTCGACCGTTGGCTCCTGATTAAGATTACTTGCAATCAGGACTGTGAGCTAGGAGAATTCTGGTACATTCCGAACACCGTATATATAGCGCTTGGACATTAGATATTGTAAGCGTGATCCAACGAGACAGTATTGACGGAAACGTAGTGGTATTTTCTATTTATTTTAAGTTAGGTGTGCTTCGTGAATCAGCAATACTTAAGGATTTGAAAACGGCACTTTGAAGTAACTGTTGGTGGTACTTCACTTGAATCTCTGAAAGCCTATACACTATTCTGTGGTTTATGTCCTATAGTTTTCTGTTCAACGTATTGGTTGAATGCTGGTTTAAAAATAGGCTCGACCACCACAATGGACATCTTAGCTTCGATATTCACATTGAATTAACTGTTATTTACGTTTGGGGTTTGGTATTGGCCTAGGTTACTTTCATGCAGTTCATGCTTTGCCGAAAATAATTTGATTCGCTAGAAATGCTCAGTTCTTTGTCGACTGCCTCTGAATATTTTTTATGATAGCTTTGTCTTGATCATACTTGGCAATTATATTCCTTTGGTTGGCCGTAATGATTGTAGTAGGCCGCGTATGTTGTGTCTGTCCATCACAAGCGTATTTTGGCTGTACATCTTTATCGTCTATGCCATCTTGAAAGTTATTCTCTATTTCATCATCAGTAATTTCGATATCAGAGTACTAAAGTGTTCTGCATAATGTTTCTCATGCTGATCATATGAGTTTTTACCCTGACCAACCGAAGTGGTTGAACACTAGTACAAACACCCAGTATAGAACTGAGGGTGAGATCATAGCTCATTCATTCGAACGCACCCCTCTTTAGATACATTTGCACTTTATTCTTAGCCCCCCACATTACACTCTAATACCATATATGTGTTCTGTATGAACATTGGCAGTAATGATCGTGAACGATTGTACAGTGAGCTTCTCCGCAAGTACGCGAACAAGCCACGAGATCAGGGGCATGAGTCCACTTGATTCACCTCATTTAGAATCAGTTTTATCAAACTGTATACAACTTATACTCTGTAGACTGAGTAACCTCGAAGGAGAAGGTGATTAGTAAGAAACTATGTGACCAGTCTGACCTCCGAACACGCGACCTAATAAGGAGGTGCATGTCGAGAAAGAACCCCCGTACAAGCAAGTGAAGAAGTGTGCAGGCGAGTAGTCTGGGTTTGACATGTACCAACTAACCCCTAGCGGTTATTAGAATGGCAGATACGCACCCACTTGTAAGCACTATATCGCTAAATGTTATTAGCACGAGAAGGCTAACGAATACCACTTTAAAGCGTGCGACAAGAAATCCGACATTACGTTGAAGTGAAGGTACTACCGGGTGCAACCGTTATAAAGAAAATACAAAGACTCATTAAATGAGCGTGAAATACTTCCTGTATATTGTAACCGAAATAAAGTCCTTGCATTGATTGATCCTGGTTCAGAAATACAATGTATATCCGATCGCTTTGCCTTAATGAAAAATATCGAACGTAGAACATAAACCACTCACCTTATTTTAGCAGATAAGAAGACTTCTATATGTGAAATAATGGCTCCAGGTGTTAGAATCTCACTGGGCGATGATAGAATATCACCACCCAAGCTGTAATTGTTTAGATGTCACAGAAGACTTTACTAGAAATACACATACTACACGGAATAACAATCACATTGTACAAATGAATATAAAGTGTGATTAAACATTTTGGTTATCAAAATGACAGAGGATTGTAATACTAAGCATACGAATGCGAAGTGTTAGAGTCTCGCCCTCGTGATTTCATTCCTGAAATATATAAGCAGTTGTTAAATTAATTGCAACCCATTTCGGCTCGTTTTTGATTTTGTACTCGATATAATCTCTCAATTTTATTTAAATCAACTCGTCTATGTGAATTCACCTCGCTCTTGGGGTACGGATACCTAACTCTATGATAGATCCCCCCCCCCCACTAAGAGAAGGATTGTTCATGTATATGTATATGGATAGTCTTCTAATGAATTGCAGAAGTAATTCAAGCATTAATACTCAATATTGAGTGCTAAAACGCGGCGCTTTCGCGTCTACATTAAAACTCGTACAAAATAAAAGCTCACTTAAATAATTTGCAACAATTTAAAAATGTTTCTTTTTCATCGAGTAGAATTTAGTTTTTGTATATGGATAATATTATTGTTTCTATTTGGGATAAATCATGATATGACTACATACACAACAAGCTTCATATTCGTTGTGAAGGTTCTGGGAAGGTTGAAGAGAAGTTGAGGTTGTCGAACTGCCGGGGAAGCTCGGGGCGAAATATACAACGATATACTTCTACCATCGGGTGGGAGCTAAAACTCGAGTGCCATTTTGTGGCATAAAGCTGGCATACATTCGTCGTGGTTCTGAATGAAAAGCTGGAAAAAACCCCCCCAAGGAATCCACGAGTTTTTTAATTCGCTGAATATATAAGCTGTATATTTTCTACATCCACATAGCTAGTAAAGGACAAACTTTACAATCAGTATACTTTTCTGAGTCCAAAATAATTACGTGTTGAGTATATCCATGTCGAATAAGAAGGAATTATGAGCAACTCCACACCACCAGAGCCAAAACACAAGTACGGACCGACGGTATACTTAATAGGGATACTATTATCTATTTCAAATTGGGAAGAAGAAGAAAAAATTATGTCTACTTGCGAATCGGCTTCGTATTCGTTGGAGAGGAGTATGAAAGTTATGTAGAGTATGGAAAGTAGCTGGAAGGTACGAGACAATAGGATATAATAGACCTCTTCTCAAGTACGGTTATCTCAGCTATGAAAAGTCCTTAGTCTGAGAGAACCGAACTGAGTCTTGTTTTGTGTTTTCACTAGACTCAGGATTTACTTGAGCGTTTCTCTTACATGCGGGAGTCCCGGTATAGCTTACCAGCTATACCGCTAATATTTCTGATGACTCTAATATCAGAAATGTTCCAATCCTAATTCCAAAACTCAGTGCCTCTTCTGGTGTGGTTGTCTGTGCGTTGTTACGTTTGTTGTTTAATGCTCGCACCTGCTCCCTCAACATACGCTCTGCTTGTGTCACAGCCGCCGTTCTTATGTGTGGCTCAGTCATGGTATGAAACTTGGGTGCTACTATATCTGACAAGTGCCCTTCACTCCCATCTGGTTGCTTATCTCCCTTGATTAGGGTGTTCACCACTGGTTGCAGTCCATAGTACTTAAGTGCTTGGTACCTTTGTACTTTGAGGATTTGGAAATGTATGGGTTCCTTGTCTGAGTTGCGGTAACGCTCCGTTAACATCGCCATTGTCTTGTGCACACGCTCTGTGCGCACTTCGACGTTCATTTTCTTATTCTGCATGTCATTGAGAAACTTATCCAATAGATAGTTTACTGGATGTGATCTGAGTCGGTCAATAATGATTCTATTGAACTGCTCAGGATTGTTGAAGGGCTTAGTCGCATGTGTCTCAGAATCTCTTAAGTTATTGAGTACTGGTTTGGTCTTCTCTGTTGCATTAATAGGTTTCTCACTAGTGCTGGGTACTGGCACAGTGGCATAGACTTTGCTAAGAATAGCTCGCTACACTGTGTAGTGAACTCTATAATATCTTCACAGTTTTCCATTCTAAAGAAACTATCCTTAGGCATCTTAGGAAATTCAAAAGTCTTGAGTAACTTTGCAAGGGGTGGTTTGTTTATCTGATCGCCCAAGCGTGAATGCATGAGCTCTAGCTCACTAATACACAGACTGATTTGAATGAGTTGGTCTTCCTCATCATCATCACAATCGTTAATGGCTTGGTCATATCATCGTCTGAGCTCCGCATCCACTAGTGGCATGCAACGCTCTGGCTGTTGACCATAGATGCCTACCCTCATCTTGTGTAGAGTTGGTATGGGCACCGGTGCTGTTTGCTCCAACTTGGACACAAACCTACTCACGAGAACATGACTGCCTTGACAAATATTCTTGTCTATTTCTACACGCATTGCTGACGCTAAGATGGGTGCCCCCGCCGGTGTAGGCTGGCCCGAACTACTGCCTGGGCTTGCCCTCCCCCCATTGGGCTGACTCCCAAGTCATCCGCGCCTTCACTACCTTCCCCCCCACCATACACGCCCGCTCTGGTTGCTGTTGGCATTTTCAGAAGTCTGTGTTGGTGTGTGGGTGTTAGTTGACTATTAATAAAGTTCTGTGCGAAAGCGCGCGCTTCACAGTACGGTAGCATGTTGCCTTGTCCCCTGTATTTATGAGGGGTGAAAACGATGTTTGTTAGTCAAGCTTATTCCGTCACGTGAGACACAACTTGTGCTTATTCCGTCACGTGAGACATAACTTGTGCTTATTCCGTCACGTGAGACATAACTTGTGCTTATTCCGTCACATGAGACATAACTTGTGCTTATTCCGTCACGTGAGACATAACTTGTGCTTATTCCGTCATGAGAGAAAATAATTTCTCATGTAATCTCAGTGAGATGTTCGGTCTTAGTGACGTCACCGAAGAAGTTCGGTCCTGTACTGAACCGAATACTACACAGTCCGATCTGCTATCAGCAGATCGGCTGATAAACAAGAGCAACATGTCGATCGTGAGGGTAGCTATGTATGCTGTTGTTTCAGTCGAGTCTATATAGTGGTCTGAAACGAAGGGAGAGCGGTCCTCTCACTTCGAAACAATCGCCTGCATCCTTCGCAATGTCAGGCCAACCTGACTGCTTATAAACCGTCAACAAACTGAATAAAAGCAAGTACCGATTCAACAACAAACAGGCAACAGATAAGCAACAAACAAACAACAAACAAGTAACAAATAAGCAATAAACAGGCAATAAACAGGCAATAAACAGGCAACAAGCATGCAACAAACAGGCAACAAAGCTGACGACACTCGATAGCCTACGCGATTCTTTGTTGTGAAAAAGTTTGGCTATAAACCAAACACAAAGCGGCTCCAATCCAGATGATGTTCATGATCCCACTGTTGTTTGTACACTTGCTGATAAAGGTAACTATTCTTTGAAATGAAGGAAATAGTTTACTTGCTTCTTGCTTTTTGAATGTGTATTGATTATATATTAAGTATATACTGACTGCCGTTCAGATTTCAAACAACTATAAACTATAGCTATAAAGGCTATAGATTATAGCTAAACTACACGTACATAAACTACAAATGTATGTACTAATTGCAAAGTTATATACTGACTACTAAAGTATATACTGACTACGAACTGAACTAGTTTTCTTTTACCCGCTCACTATGGCGGGCTCGGGTAGCAACTGGTGAAGACTGTTTCTGTCTCTTCTGAGTTGGCGCAACAGCGGGTACAGCAGGTGTGGCAGTAGCAGTTGTAGCAGATGTAGGCATAGAGAGCTGAGCAGTTGTAGCAGATTCAGGAGTTGACAACTGAGCAGCGGTGGTAGTTAATGACAGCGAAGACTGTGCAAGTGTCGCAACTATTTGTTGTGTATTTGATGTAGTGCCAGTGGTTGTGGTGGTGGTAGTTGGGTTTTTCTTGGTTATTTTCCCAACGCGAGATGCTTTCTGCAGGCTTGGGCTAAGATAATCTCCGAGCTTCTGCGATGGCAGCTTACCAGCTTTGACTTTATATCGAGGAGGATCATAATTCGAACATATTACTTAAAATCCGTTGGGAGAAAGTGTTCGCTACAGATAAAATCAGCTTTTTGTAAAACCATTGTGTGCCCGCCCTTTCAGGACTCCCATCCATTTATTTCTAATATGGTGCAAGATTACACCACGTTGAATAAAATATATATTAATATCTTATACTAGTTGCAGTCGTAGCTATGACAGTTTACAACTGCAGCCGCTAGCTAGCTATAGTAGTTGACAACTGTAGTAGCTATCGTAGTTGACAACTGTAGTAGATATAGTAGTTGACAACTGTAGTGCCTATAGTAATTGACAACTGTAATAGCTATAGTAGTTGACAACTGTAGTAGCTAATGTAGTTGACAACTGTGGTAGCTATAGTAGTTGACAACTGTAGTAGCCCTATTAGTTGACAATTGTTATAGCTATAGTAGTTGACAACTGTAGTAGCTAATGTAGCTGATAACTGTAGTAGCTAACGTAGTTGACAACTGTAGTAGCTATAGTAGTTGACAACTGTAGTAGATATCGTATTTGACAAATGTAGTAGCTATAGTAGTTGACAACTGTAGTAGCTTTAGTAGTTGACAACTGTAGCAACTATCGTAGTTGACAACTGATAGAAGCTATAGTAGTTGACAACGGTAGCAGTTATAGTAGTTGACAACTGTAGTAGCTATAGTAGTTGACAACTGTATTAGCTATAGTAGTTGATAACTGTAGCAGCTATCGTAGTTGACAACTGTAGCAGCTGTAGTAGTTGACAGATGGTCAATTTAAATGAACTGAACAATTTACAAAACTCGCGTACAACATTTAGCTGTGTTGCTGCGTCTGTGGAGATATTGTTAGATATTTCCTATGGTAGCTTATCTAGCAAATAGCCCTGAATATAGGGAAACTAATTTATAGTGTTAGTGTCTAGCTGAAACTTGAGATTTCGTTTAAATTAGCTTATTTAAATAAACTGAACAATTTACAGAACTCGCGTACAACATTTAGTTGTGTTTCTGGTCTGTGGAGATATTGCGATATATTTCCTTTAGTAGCTTATTTAGCAAATAGCCCTGAGTATGGAAAAACTATTTTCTAGTATTAGTGCCTAGCTGAAACTTGAGATTCAGTTTAAACTATCCTATCTAAATAAACTGATCAATTTACAGAACTCGCGTAAAACATTTAGATGTGTTGCTGCGTCTGTGGAGACATTGCTATATATTTCCTATAGTAGCTTATTTAGCAAATAGCCTTGAATATGGAAAAACTAATTTCTAGTATTAGTGTCTAGCTGAAACTTGAGATTCCGTTTAAACTGTACTAGTGCCTAGCTGAAGCTTGAGAATACGTTTAAACTAACCTATCTAAATAAACTGAACAATTTACAGACCTCGCGTACAACATTTAGTTGTGTTTCGGCGTCTGTGGAGATCTTGCTAGATATTTCCTATAGTAGCTTATTTAGCAAATAGCTCTAAGTTTGGGAAACCTAATTTCTAGTTTTAACGCCTAGCTGAAAATTGACATTTAGTTTAAGCTGAAGTATTTAAGCAGACTGAACAATTTACAGAACTCGCGTACAACATTTAGCTGTGTTGCTGCGTCTGTGGAGATATTGCTAAATATTTCCTATAGATAGTAGCTTATCTAGCAAAAGCCCTGAGTATGGGAAAAGTATAAACGATATTTAAAATATCCGCCGTAGCTTTTGAATTTAAATCACGATTCCTGTACTCGAAGTCAATGTTCCAGATAGTATACAGTTACCGATAGCTGGCTATGGTTTCTTCGTGTTAGACAGGTGTTTCTAGTACCAAATCGTGGGTGAAATGAGATAACACTAGTATACGATGTACCGCAACTAGCCCCATTGGCCCTCTTTAATACTGTGCGAGTAGTTCCTCCTCAAAGGAATAGACTGCAACGCTACTCTATATACTAAGAAACATGATATTTATTTATGTCAGATAGGTGTTTCTAATACCAAATCGTGGGTAAATGCGAGATAACTTCTAGCATACGATATACCGCAACTAACCCGATAAGTGACTCTCTTTAGAAACTATCTGTGTAATCTCTCCTCAAAGGAATAGACTGCAACACCATTTTCTCTACTAGCTAGCATGATACTTCTTCATGTCAGATAGGTGTTTCTATCTGATCCATCGTGCACACTTATACCGTATTAGGGTAGCTAATCGGGTAGCATATATCTCTTTGGGATTCCTAAGAGATGATATCAGTATGTACTGCATAATTCTCAAACTCTATACGTTCACCATCATAATCAATTACTGTCAAAATAAACAGATAATGACACGATCCGACGAAACAACTTTAGTTGAGATATAAAAGTTAAAATGTTTTGATTTTATGTTGCTTTCCTTAAATGTGTTGTGTTTATCTATAGTAATAAAATTGAAATGGGGTTGTCAGTTACATGGATTTCATTTATTTATTTTTATTTTTGCTGCAAATATTGCATGCGTATTTTTCAGCGGCAGTCACCCATCTTCAAATGTATGGCAGGCATAAGCCGCACAATGCACATACATATCAGCAACATGCAAAGACTTGAAAGCATACCGAGCCTAAAACAGCCTGAGCATTATGCGGCGGGGCGACGCATGAATGTGTCGGTCTACACAAACTGGCTCATAGATGAGATTCTCTTTCAGGATGCTCCGTGCCAGGAACGACAAAAGGTTATAGTGGTATGTATGGAGTGTCCGGAGAACCGTAGCTGGAGAGCTTGTATTAATAGCCATTGGTGCCATTGGTCGGCTTTAGCCAGGGAGCATAGTCAAAACTATCAACAAGGGTCTGCGGCCGATGTTTCAGTGCCGGCTTGCCTAACAGCCGATGGCGGGCAAAGCAACAGGAGCGTGAACGGATAGCTCGGCCCGCGGAGGAGTAAGGACGGCAACATCACCTGAAATGGTGCTCAATTTGATATTATTATTCAGGGACGTTTGGTACGTCATCAAAATGCCCTGTGCCCGCCCGTAGGTCACTCGCACTTGGGGGGATGTAATGTCCGGGTACCGAACCATATGAGTATACAAAACCGGCTCTAAAATCAGTTTTGGAATATGAAAGGAAATACAACTACAAACAAAACCCACAAAGGATAGCGTGTGTTTGGAATGGTCAACGAGGTAGGATACAGCGTGGCGTGTGCTGTCTAGTTGTCTATTGTAAAAGTTTAGGTAGGCGAGATGCCACGAGGGCATGTGTGAATGAACGAGTAAACAATGAACACTAGTTGGAGACGAGATATAACGCTATGATGAAAGTTAAAGGGTCAGCATACCACTAGGGTGCTTGACAAAGATATCTATTAAACATGTATAAACTTAAACGAGCTATTCATCATACCGAATCGAAATGAACAGTCTTACCTCGTTTATCCCCCACCATCCAACCAGATTGCCAGCCTGATGATGGCAAGTCGGTAATTTTTGATAAGTGGCTAATTATCGGTTTCAGTACAATAACTAGAGACATGAACAGTGAATTTTATATATAAAGAAAGTTCTTTCTAATGATAGTATGTTGTTCGTTCTCAAATTCGTCCTACAAAACATAGTGTTTTTTTCTTCGCCAAGACGACAAAAACATAAATATAATTCCTTCGGCGAAACCAGTACTGCGAGGAATCTATATACGCAATATCTCAGCCTTTTAATACCCCAGAGTATTGCTGATTTCACGAGGCATACCTAACTTTTTTACTGACTATTCTCGTATACTTAAATTATTAAAACTAAACGACAAACTCTAAAAAGATACAACTTCAAGACGTTAATACTGCCTTCTTGGACCGATATTTTCATGAATTCTTTCATGTGGACGACCTACGAGGTTCGGTATCTCGCCTCAGTACCGAACTCTGCCTTGTGGCTCTTTCACCCGATTTATACGTGTGTATTTTATATATTAAACCAATCGAAATAAAAGGGGTTTTCATTGAGTAGATTTCAGTTTTTTAAAGTTGGCCCTGGTTCAAAAAAAGCTACTGTCGAAATGTCGAAAAGAAAAAAATAGAAGAAAAAAAGTTTTTCCCGCAGGGTATAAGGAAAAATTTAGGTAAATTTGATATATCTACTACATTCACATCAGGCTTCATATTCGTTGGAGAGGTTCTGGGAAAATTGCAGGGGAAGTTAAGACTATCGAACTGCCCCGAGAAGCTCGGGGCGAATGATGTAACGATGGAAGACATATGGTGCATTAGTTCACGACGATGGATACAGAAAACCTCTATCATTAAGTGAGAACTAAAACCTGTGTGCCATTGCGTGGAACAAAGCTGACCCACCCTTGTAGTGGTAATATGGGCTGAGTCGGTCTGAGACGTTTTGAACGTTGGGGGCTGTCCGATACCACATCACACAACTGATATAATTAGAATATCCTAGCTAGCTATAGCGGGATGTATCAGAAGCGGTACCAGAAGTCTAGATGATTTGGTCTGTACCGAAATCTGGAAAAAAGTATTTCAGTAGTGATATTCATTGACCAGTACTGAATGGGTATAAATTGGTGCCCGCTGTTCACGGAGAAGGAAGATCCCGAGATGTTATTGGAGAGTCCATATGTCGCGGTAGTTATGTCGATTCTGTAGTTGTAGTAGTAAGTCCGGTCCAATCGAGGGTAGATTAGGGCCCACCAGAATACGCTTTATTAGGAAACTGTTACAAGCAAAGTGGCTGGACGAAAAGTCTAATCTCCGGGGCACACCGGACAGAGGCATCCACTAGTACGATAGTCAAGCAATTTGACCCGAAACGTGTTGGTTGCTATCATGGCACAAAGGCGGGTTGGGGTGTGTTCACGGCGATGAGTAAAGCTATCATGTGAGGGCTTGTCCCGGTCCGTGAAGGGAAGTTCTCCCCTTACAAATCGATAGTAGTATTGGCGGCGAGCATTGCCTGTTATTTCCTTAGATGTGAGACATTGTGTGGTATTACGTCGGATCTGCTCACGGTGCTTACAGGAGTCCTTGTGCGGAGGTGTGCACCCGCCCCTTGATTATAGATAAGTGTAAATACTGAAAGGGAATTTGTCCGGAGGTCTGTTACGTGTCCAAGCGGGTCTCGTAAGTGGGACGAGTGGGTTTGTACTGTTGATCGAGTCAAGATGTAGTCCCAGGCAGCCACCAAGATACTCCACAAATTGGCGTGCTGGAAGTAAACCGCAGAAGCAAAGTTGCCGTATGCGCTGGTATAGGAGTTTTGGAAATGTTGTGCCTGCTATGAAAAATAAATTGCTCTTCCAGTACATTAAGGGCGATGCCAGAATGTTTAAGAACTTTGACTACCAGATTGTGGTGGACAACAATGAGAGTGGGTCTTCTTCTTCTTCTTCTGACGACGAGGACAGTAGTGGTTCCCATACCGACTCCGACTCCGACTCCGACTCCGATTCAGGGTCATGGTCAGGTAGCGGTAGTGACAGTGACAGTAGCGGGTACACACGTGCGACGAAGAAGCAAAAGGTATTGGTACGTCCGAGGAAGTTACCGTAGGGGAGGAAGGAGTAAATGTACTTGGTGAGTAAATACATGCGTCATCAAAGAAATAAGTATTACAACGTAAGTGTGTGTCATTCTTTATTAGTTTACATGTCTACCAGATTCCAATTCTCGCCGCTGCTGACAACCAGGTGCTTGATGTTGGCAGTGGGGTTCTTCTTGAAGGCCTTGTTGTTATAGTGTACACAGTGTACGGTCTTAAACTTGCCGGCAACGGCAGAGTTGAACTCGGGGCATGCCAGGTACTTGCCGACCTCGACCACCAGATTGTCCTTGCCCTTGTTTGGGGCCCGACGTCCGTCCTCGTATCTTGATATATCGTTCTTATAGGAGATGCGCATCCCTTTGGAACAGATATCCTTTTCGATATGTTTCATATATTTGTCGTTGTACACGTTATCCGTATTGTTGAGTTGCACCCCAAGTCTTTTACGCGCGCAAACCGTTTCTGCATAATGTCGAATACCGGGTCGTCGATTTCCTCGTTCTTGGGGGACAGCCATTCGTCTTCCCAGCCCGGGTACACACGGTCGGTAAATCCAACCAGGTCCTTGTAGTCGTCCCTCCATTCCTCTGCGCTCCCGACGAATACATAACAGAACACCTCGATGTTGTTTCTGTCATTTTTAGTGTGGTGAGTTAGGCGCGAGTCGTCTGGATCGATGTACAGCTCGTTGAATAGAGGCAAATAGTTTGGCTTTACCTGGACCATAAGACCCCACCTAGATATCAAAACCATACTGATCGCGGTTGTAATATTATCTCAACGTATAGCTATAGAAGTAAATATTTATAGTAAGACCGCACAAAATATTCAGCCATGAAACGGTTCACCGATTTCCCGGAACGTGAGGGTGACACGGACACAGACGAAGTAAAGGCGTTTACCGAAAAGAGGCTGATGGTGCAGACCCACGTGTTGACGTCCGTGGACAACCGAAACGACGATGGCACTCTAAACGACGGCGAGCAGGGGGTGACCGTGCACCCGTAGCTGGGGTTTATGCCGGATAACAAACCGGATGGAGAGGTGACGCACGACGATATCACCAGGTGTATCCCCTACACACGTATCGTATCATACAATCACAACAAGGGGGACAGCCCTTATCTCGAGTTAAAGGGCTACCTAGTGGACGTGCTGGACATGAAACTACAGCTAGAGGAAGAGAACAACAGACTGCGACTCAGAACAAATACGTTTGAACGGTTTACAAAGCCATTTAATTCAGACGGGTGGATGTACATCCCATTCCCATTCTCTGTTTAAGCCGTAGAGGAACCGACGTACGGGATCGACTCACGGGTTCGGTTGATCCGGAATGCGGATCCCATCGACGAGCGATGAACGAGCGATAACATTATGGTTATCAGCAACAGGGACTTCAACGGTCTCGGGATCGTTTCCTCGATCGGTACGGACAGCGGTAACAGTATCTGGCTGTAGTGGGTTCGCCGTAGGACTCGCAGGTGGTGTGGGGTACGCCTCGGGGAGCGGTGGCAGTTCACTGATAAAGTGGGTCATAAACTCCAGTATGGAGTCGGCCACACCAGGTAGCTGGGCAAGGTCGGATAAGTTCGACTCTGGCAGCGTCTATATGCACGTTGTGAGCTCAAAGGAACGTAGTGGAGGCAACGGCGGCAACAGAGGCAATGCTGGCGGGGCTGCCGGTATCTGGGTTGGCGGTTTAGGGGTGGCCTTAGACTTGGACCTAGTACATTTGGGCGGCAGACGGAGACGGGGGACGGCAACCTTGGATGTATGAACAGGGATCGGTCGGAGCATGGGTTAAAAACTCGGTGTTATGGTCACTTCCTTGTACACACAGCCTCGGTGGATAAACAGACCTTTAACCAATGGGTGGTTGCGTAAAGGTATGGGGCGCCAGGTATTCGGGTCCTGGTTCTCCTTGTTGGCATCGGCATCGGCATCACCAACGGCCAACCCCGTATACAGGATACGGGTACCGTTGCAGCGACTCTGGTTATGGTCCATCGTGGCGTTGGATACATATGTATATGTATATATTTAATAAATAAATAAATAAGTATAGATGCATCGTGTGACAGAGTGGGCTGTGGGACACAGGTTTATATAGACGTATAAACAGGGTAGACAGTTCTATTCCTTGTACCTACTGTGCACGGTGCAAGGGATGCTTTTCCCACCTTCACTATTGTTTACAAACAATGCAGCGTTGTGGTTGGTTGTTGGCAAATACACACGGGAGATTTTGTGTTTCATGGGTTTGCCTTTGCTTACAATCTACACCCCTGACGGTCAACAACAAAAAGAGGAAATTGCTATATACGTACATGCGTAAAGCGTGTACTCTATTTAGTTATTTATTTATCGAGAATCTATCCATCCATCAACAGTACACATTTAGCGACGTCCCCCCAAGATCTGTTTGCTGAGCCGATTGATATACCCGCCCTGTTTGGGGTAAGGGCTGCCGGGACTTCCATACTGCATACTTTGACCGTAGTTACCTGTGGCGGACGGATGATGGATAAATCTACTGTTTGTAAACTTATTATTGGGATGGTGTCGTAAAATATTTGTGCCTCCCGTTGGGGAATGTGATTGGCGTACGCGTGGGAGTGCGAACTGTATCCATAGTCATAGTGTCAGGAGCTGGTACTGCCGGATAACTGTTTGAACCTTTTCAATGGTTGCCCCACCGCATTATCAGTTTCGATCTATCAAGGCGATACTAACGCCTTAGAGTAAATAAACGCTTAGGTTGAGTCTAGGTTTAATAAAATTCAAAGGAAAATAAACGAAATGAGTCTTTTAGTAAAGTTAGGTATGCCTCGTGAAAACAGCAATACTCTGAGGGATTGCGAGGCTGAGACATTGCATATATATAATCCTCTCAGTACTGTTTTCGCCGAAGGGATTTTATCTAGTGCTTCGTTGTCGCTCTACTAGAAACTATGACTATGTTTCGTTAGGGCGAATCCGAGAGACTCGTAAAATCCTATCTTTTAAAAAAATTATAAAAAGAAAAAGAAAAAAGAAAAATACTCTTGATGTTCATAGTTATTGTATTAACCAATAACTCGCCACTTATCAAGAATTACCGACTAGCCTTCATCAGACTGGCACATCTGGTTGGCTGAACGGGTGATAAACTAAGCAACGCTAATAGTCCTTAGAAACCTATGTTCGGTTGAGCAATCTCGCTACCGAAGTATTCAGATACATATAGATTTGGAAAGTAAATATAGTTCTATTGATAGAGCTAGTCCAAATCATATCTTTGGTATTTTAATCAGGCCTTTTAATGGCATTGTCCAAATATTTGATACGTTATAATGGAAAAGGTATTTAATTAATAAAACCGTTAAAAACCATTTAAGGAAAACTAAGTTTTCGTACTTTTAAGAGTACGTTTATAATACAAGACTCTAATGTGGAGGCCCGGCTTTTACAGCATCAGGGTCACCGTGTCCGTCCTAGTCCGAGTCTTCACTACTATCCGCCTCCGAGTCACTATTGTCTGAAAAAAAATTGGCGGGCGCTCATTGGCCGTTGCATTTTTAAATTGGCGGTAGTTTCTTCTATGGGACCGTCCTTGGAAAGATTATCTCTTTTGCGTGGCCTGAAGTTAAAACCGGTTCGACTTTGGGGTCTTGGGACTCTGCTATTGCATTCTCTGGCTGTTTACTAAAATTGGTAATGGCAGCAGCAGTAGTAGTAGCAGTAGTGTCAGGCGTAGGACTCAGACACGCAGCTGATGGGATCTTGTTTTCAGCTTGCCATTTTTTCAGCCTGTCAATGAAATCGGTCATATTAGGCCACTTCTCGGTCGTGGACTTTAAGAGTGTTTCGGTTTTGTCCAGTAGATTATCCCACTCATCGCACCGTTTCTCATCCGTACTCTTCGCTTTTCGATTTTGGTCAGACCCTGGGGCCGGAGCACCCGTGTCTTGGCGGCGGGTTTCTTAGGGTCTTTTTCATGTGCTCTAATTTATCCGTGAGACACAGGCGGACTTTGTTCAGCGTTATGTACTTCTGTAACTCTTTGATCAGCTGGCTCTGCATTTGGGGGTCACTGCAGTCTGTTGGACCACCTGTGACTTCAGCTGCTCTACTTCCCGCGTGAGCCTTGTCAGCTGCTGGACTAGGTTCTGTTGCTGGTTCTGGGTCACGAATACTTCCGACGGTGTCATCGGCCGAGACTTGGGTTGCTTCATTCTGAAGAATCCCCGTAGCTTCTTGGGCATCGGTGCTGGTGTCTAGATTTTTACTAGACAAGGCTGTCGCGTTGTTTCCTTCCATGCTTTATCATGACCGGACTATCCTCTAGTAAGTGCGTCACATAATTTTCATAAAAAGTGCCGTGTTGTTGTAGTGTGGCGCAACGCGTGCTTGTGTACACGTGTGAAAAGGGACGTCACCCGTGGTTTAGCCGACGTCACGCGGTCTGGGCGTGTCACGCGACACCTGGTCTCGCTCAATGGGGGTTACGAGATGCCTGTACTGAACCCCATGTATTTTTTTACCCCATGTATTTTTTTTTGATTTCCCACTGAAATTGTACACACGTGTTTATGTCGCAGCCAAAATATTCAAGATACGTTTACTGCATTTTGAGCTACTTGGTTGCTCTCATATTTCTTATACTTACAGAAGTCAGCCAGCCTTGAGAGAAAGGCCCACCACCAGACGATACACCCAACGATACTAATACGTCTTCTACAGAAGTGGGCTACCATACATTCAAGTCGTCTAAAATTTTCCACTACTGCGCTATGAACGATTGCTACACAGAACCGCTGGAAACACACATGTACGTGCTCTATAAAAATATCTGACCCTTTATTATTACCACGTACACACACACGTACACACACACACACATACACACACTGTGGGGTTAAAATCTATCTACCCTGCATTCTATGTCGGTGTTTGTAACCCCACAATCACTGTGCCGGAAACTAGCAATTTTACAGGCTAGAGCCTGCTCACCCCAAACCAGTACCGTAGGTACGTGCGGAAACACGAAATGTTGTTGCCTCAGCAACAGACTCTGGAGGAACGCAGAGGCGCATAGAATACAATACGATACGTCGGAACTTAACCGTTCTAGTGCTGCACGTGCAGGTACAGGAATAAAACATGCGCTCTCTATTAACCGTATGGTATAGCGTACTCTAACTAACTAACTAACTAACTGAATCGCTAGCTCAAAATGATGGGGTCAGGGATCGAAAAACTGGATTCTGTGAACTCCAATACACCGGGGCAGCAGGGGTCATCCGCTCAGAGCGATTCGATTGAACGCCCTGTGCCCAATGACTTTTCAAGTGGTGATCAGCTTTTCGCAGATGACCCCGGCGGCATTGACAAACGATAGCACACAATGGCTTATGAACTATAAGTCAGTGCCCCAGTTAAACTCATTGGATTCAAAGAGCGGTTGGATAAACCGAGATTTCGAAAACCCTATGCGTATACGTATCCCGCAGAGTGGTGTTAATACAGGCCGGCCAGTAAACTGGTAGCGTGTGTCTGTGTATGACGGAGTCATGTTCCCTACACGTCCAGTTAAACACTATCAACATGAGACTAACGCAACCATGTATCCGCATTACCATAGTGACAATGATAGCGACAGCAACAGCGACGGCAGCCATCATGCGGTCAAAAATGAAAATTGAAAACCCTACTAGACATGTTCAATATTTTGAAAATGGAAATGTGATTCAGCCAATACACTCCGCGTTTAAGAAATCAAAGTGTATTCGTTCTTTTTGGCACGTTAATATGCGTGATATGTGCGAGTTTGTGAATGTTCTGATAACTACATACATAGTAGTGTGATTATTGGAGTGCGGTGGGAACATGACAGAACCTGATATACTGATAGAAAGACATATACGTTGGGGCAGATTCGAGATACTCGTATATAATCCTATCTTCAGGAGAAAAAAAGTATATGAAGAAAAAAAGTATTAAAAAAAATGGTAAAAAGACTCTTGATGTCCTTAGTTATTGTTTTAACCAATAACTAACCACTTATCAAGAATTACCGAATAGCTTTCATCAGACTGGTAATCAGGTCGGCTGAGCGGAGGACAAACTAGGTAACGGTAATAGTCCGTAGATACCTATGTTCGGTTGTGCCATCTCGCTACTGAAGTATTCAGGTATAAATAGATTTGGAGAATAAAATAGTACTATTAATAGATCTACTCCAAATATTATCTTTGGCATTTTTTAATAGGACGTATCCAAATATCTGATTTGTAAATAAAATGGAAATTTAATAATACGTTTATTTACAAGATTCTCACGTGGAGGCCCGGCTATCAAGGACCGAGACAAGCCCTCCCATGAAAACTTTACCCATTGCCGTGAACACACGCTAATCCGCGCTTGTGTCATGATAGCAACCAACACTTTCCTGGTTAAATTGCTTGACTACACTATGGCAGAATACCATTGAGCTTACTTACATCAATGTGTGAGTGACACTTTGTTGAAATAGGAAAGAATCAAAGAGGCTAATCGCACACGGCCTGGTATAGAAGATCGTACACAGAGAAGGAACATACACCATATCCTACAAGACTTTATATAGGTTTCATATCGCTTCTTCGTTCTTCGCTGTCAGTTTACTTTTGTCCTAGTTTTAGGGGTTGTTTTGGTAAATCCGAGTTCTGGGCGAGGTACGAATAAACTGAAGCTGCAAGCATATTCATCTCCATGATCCTTTTTGTAAGCGGAGAGCGAGTATACACATGCACAAACGCCTAGATGGGGCGCTAAAAGTTTGTCATATGATGCCCGAGGAAAGAAACCTCAAACAGGCGAGTCCTGTAATCTAGTTAGTAACAGATCAAAAGACTTTGAGGCGGACGTATTAGCTAGCATCACACAGCATCACACCCTGCCGGCCGTAAACGAACACATACCGATAAGGCAATAAACACCCTATCGCAAGGCGTGTGTCAAAGTTGCTAAAATCAGATCCAGATACAGCAACATTAGAATACTCTCAAGTGCAATCTAAAATGATAAACTGAGAAGATATAAGTGTTGATTATACATAGAACTTTGATAATTGGACTTCGTACGAAGGCGTGGCAGAGAACCCATCTGCCGTGTGTCTAGTCAAACGTACATTTGATGTCAAGCCGGTAGATATGCAGCAGCCCGAAATAAACGTAATCAACCAGACATATGTACACAATAGCAGTTAAGAACGATTGGCACCAAAATAAAAAACTCATCGGAGATGTGCTTGGAAAGGTGGAACGCAGACTAGGTTTTGGTACTGAGAAAAATCTGGTACCCGCCAGGTGTGATGGTGGGTTAGCTTCGCAAAATCCGTACATGACCATAACCCATGGGGTGGCAACATTGGAGTGCGACAGAGACCACCCACACTTAGTGTCAGGAAATATGACCTTACAGTAGCGTAGGGTGGTAATTAAACACTCAAATTATACTTGGTCCTAGAAATGATGTACCAGAAGTTACTGGGTCTGTACGTTAATAGGGGGAGCAATTATACGAACTGAAAGCGAAGCAAAAAAGTGATGAAGATAACAACAATAACAACAGCAATGACAACAGTGACAGTGCTACGATTTCTGATGCACAGTAGGGGCGGGTCTTGGCGGATGAGACACAGGAACAACGAGAGGGAAGATTAGAGCGTAACATGTACACGACAAGGCGCATGTTGCAACAATCACATGTTTACATGAATCGAGACAATTATGTGCATCGAAAATGGTATTACGTTGTGAGGTACGCATGCAAGAGTGGGATTAGTGCTTACGAGGCTGAAAAATGGTCACAAAACTGATCGATAGTGACCTATTTGAAGGAACAAATCTTCCGTCTTTGGCGACTAGGTTCAATAAGTCGATTCTTAAGTTTCGGGAAGTATCTGCTAGAGAGTGTTGTATGAGCGTAAGTTCAGTTAAGATGTATATGTGCACGATAATTTTTTAAGGGTGCCGTTTCGGGTAGAACTGGCACCAACTGGCATACGTACACATAAACATGTTCTATTTGCATTCCTGTTTTTTATTAGCAGGCACAGAATCTGAATCTTGCCATTATCAATATGCATTGGCAGTATGTGCACTCTATAGAAAATATTATTTGAGATGGCTTGCAACTAATCTGCAGAGTTTAAAGAACGAAACAAGGTTATTAGGAAGTCTGTTCTCGAAGACTACACACATATTGGTTTGCATGGAAGATCTGTTATCGGTAAAATCTCTACTTTCCAAATCAGCTACTCTTGATTTAAGTCCTGAAAAATTTCAATTTAACTTGCGAACTGATATAGTCTACTGATTGGAGGATTGAGACCCGTCCCTTTTCCTTGGTTTAAGTTTAGCACCAATATAATTACGATGCGATCATCTTGAGAATTTTTTATTTGTTGTCCCAAGAACCCAGAGTGATAATCTACTTATTTCATCTGTTCGTAAACCACACCTAGATATATAGGCTATTCTACCAACATACGGGCCGATGCGTACAAGAAATCTTTGATGTAAGTCATCACTCACAAAATGCCAGATTGTATAGTAAAATGTTATGGGCCCATAGCTATGGACTTGTAGCCTATTATTCCGAGTATGCCAAAACGGTCATTAATTAGAAAGAGAAAGTGCACATTCATGCCTATAGAAGCATACCAGTAGTAGCACGATCACACTCACTCGCACAAATCTACATACTACCGATTCTTATTAGGGAAGCTAATTTTATTAGTCATCTGATATTCATCACAATATTCCGCGTTTGAACTCGCACGCGATATTACGCATGTATGCTGTATTTTAGAGGTGGCTCGTGATGACAAATAATATGACTTTATAACGAGCCAAGCATTTTTTTTTGACCGCTTGAAAGATAATGAGCTTTCGATTCAAAAAGCCATACACAAACCACAGTCAATACAAGTTCTCAATTATTTAATCGTATATGTCTATGATTCACCTCGACCAAAATATATTTTAAGTTTTCTCTGCACATAGGCTAGAGCCCGTGCATTGGATTTCGATCAACCGCCTCTCAGAATTCTTTGAGGATACCATGAAACACCCATGTATTGTATGACCTTATGCATAAATTTTGAAAACGACATATTGCTGCTCGTCAGTGGAAATACAACGCTATTCAAGTCGATTGTATTTCAGATCACTCTTGAATCAACTCGCCTGCCTTGACCTATCTTTGAGACATATAAATCAATTCATGTTGTTCGAAAATAATTTCCACGAAATTTTGAGTATTCATTTCCTGGCATTTGTCACTTGCACAATTCTGTACACTCAAGTCAACTAGTATTTTCGATTCGTAATACATTTCTTTCATCGCAAACTGCGCATAACACGAGATTTTAAACATCGCTGCTTGAAAAATTATCGTCGGAGCATCGCACACTATGGTTGTATTTTACCAAAGACAAATTCAGTTTAAACTTTGGCATGCTACCTATTCACCCAATTGTGCCTGGTCAACTGTTCTACACAACACTTATGGCTCGCTCGTTACTCGGCCTTCAAAAACTAGGATTTAAGGAGAATTAACGCAAATAGTCAAGAGCGCTAATGTAAGGTATATTTCAAATACAATGACTCAATATTCAGGATTTAGTATAGTGGGGGTTAGAGAACAAGTTTCTAACGACAGAACGTGGGCCAGTACCTAACTCAAATTATGCTGTGACATCCCGAACGCACACACGCCAACTCCTTGAGTGTCTTGGATTTAAGAATCAACCAGAGCTGAATATTAAATGCCCACATACACAGTATCGCGTAAGTATCTATGAATGGTGTTTAATCTTTTGACGACATTCCACCATCCTGCAATTTGCTGACAAGATCTTGTATATGCGCCTTTTCTCTCGACACCTTGGCTGTAGACGAACTGTTAAGCGTTGTCTCCTCGCCCATCATCGAAGCAAATTCTGCAGTGAAAGTCACATGACAAGGAAATCAGTATTGATGTGTTGTGTCTAAATTATGTGATCAATAGGATATGCTACGAGAGTTTCATGAACTATTCGTGTCCACTCCTCGCGGCATCTGGCATATTTTGAAATGTGAACACCAAAAGTAAACAAACATAAGCGATACTACTAACAACATGCACATACACGAGATCTCCGCATGTACAACCTCATTTATCGGACTTGCTAGTTCCACATTCAACAACAACCTCATAATGAAAGCCACAGCAGATGACATACCGTCAAGCACATCGATGACCCCGTATAGCGACCGCTCTTGTTGAGCGAGCAACTTCTTGATTTTCCCTCGTATCTGTTTGGGTGCAAGCATGCAGAATTTGAAATCTGATATAATAGGCCGTATTCCTACTTGTTCTCTCAATCCCTCTGTAGTCAAACAGTCAAAAAATCGAGAATAATGACAGACTGACAAACTAAATTCCGGAAAAGAACCATATTCGATCATGGTTTGCGAAACAACAGATACACAGTCACTACCAGCGATCGTATATGCACAGCTACACAATCTCCTGCATTTCATAGTCAAGAACACATTGAGTGGAACACTTACCTGTGGTATTCCCGCCACCATAATTTCTGCAATAATTGAGTCCACGAGCTGTAAACAACATAGCCCATTCTCTAAGCGCCTCAGGTAGAACATGTCAGTCATCTCCGGTGGAATCTCGGGATGCTCGTCTCCCTTCGATTTTTCCTCAGCAAGATACGCGACTGTCTCCCTGGCAATTTCATGGTCCTCTTTCGCTACCTTCTCGCTATATTGCAAGTGTAGCTCGATCAGACGTTCAACCTGGAAGATTGAATATCATCGGAAGCAGCCGGGTGAGCATGTGCCAGTGTCAGCTTCTACAATAAATTCAGTAAATCAACCGAGTTGCTACCGAGTATTGTTGATTGACGATAAATAGTTCGATGTACGTTTCGACACAACCACAAGAAGCCATGGCTTCAAGAGTATGATGATATATATGTAAATTTTGCGACTATCTTTTGTATGAATCCAGCTCGCGAATTTCAGCTGATTGATCATACGTACCTTAGCAAAGTTATCTTCTACGAATTTGTTAAGCAGCCGATTTCGCAGCGTCGAGTCCCGGATATTTCTGAGTAAAGAATTAAGCACAGAACATACATGTTCTGAGCAAACCGAATAAATGCCAAAAAGGGCGGATTAGTAAATGGCACACTGGTTTAGATAGCAGATATATGTAATTTTGAGTTCTATATGTCAAAGTATACCATCAACATACATAAAGAGACTCAGCGAGATACGCAGCAACACTGACCAAGCAATGGGCACCACCGACCACTAGTGCAATATACGCAATTAAAAAACAATACTCACTGAGATACATACAAGCTCAATCAAATGATAGCTAACTACTCGGTGTGATGCCAAAGTGGGCAACAAATGTAGCTCACCTTCGTATTCGCCTTTATCCGCCACTCCCTTGGCATTCTTGGGCACCTTCATGAACCGGGGAAACAATGACTTCAGTCCTCGTTTCTCCACAAATCGTTTGCACATAGCCACCTCATCGCCGGTCGTGGCGAAACTTAGTGCCTTCATAGCACCGAACACGGCCATTTTCTTTTCTCTCAACATGATAATCATCAGCTCCACACCCTCTCCTTGCAGAAAGTGCTTCTTACCTTCGGACTCGAGGAGAGTGGTAGTGACTGAGTCGAACAGATTGTTCAAGTACTCCACCTCTTCTGGTGTCTGAGGATCTTTATTTCTGTAGCCCTACGAGGTTGAATAAGAAGATCCAAAATTAATATGCAATTAATGACAATGCGTGAGAAGTAGCAAAACCCCGCGCACATTGCTGGACGAGCCGGCATAGCTAGCTAGGAGATCACGAATATATTTCGCCAACATACGCATATACAAACTTCCATTTGTGCAGCGGACAAAAACAGGAATACCAACAATAAAAGGGAGAACATACGGCTAAAATTCGTAACAAATCGTCAATTCCATTCTCGGTCGCCAACTTCCGCCTCGATTCTTTCGAAGTTTGTAGTATTATAGATAGCAGCTCACTGTAGTTAAATTGTTAAAGCGAGGTTTAATCAGCCTTTATTAAATTGTACAGCTTTGGGAACGAAATCCGTTTCTAGCAGAAAAAACTACTCGATCCAAAAATGACCATAATAATCTTGTCCCGCAAGCAATAGCATGATATTTAGTACATACCTGCAGTATAATTTATTAGCATCAAGTCCCTTGGTGAGGAGCCTCCGACGAATCCACGGTAGCATCTCTGCGGGTGCCAAATATGCACAATATTAGATTACATCCCATGTGACATACATTCATATGTTCACACTCAAATCTGCAGATGTTCAAGCTTGTTGGAGATTCTAAAATTTCTCATTCGAAACCTATTAGTGACCGTGGGAACGATCATATGCCAAAGGATAAACATGCAATCATCGACAGAGTAACTTACTGGTTCCTTTCAACATCAAACTCGGAGTGTTATCGTCGATCTCGCAAAGATTCTCTAATATAGTCAGTGTTTTGTGTACACCCTCGGCATCCTCTCTGTTACTCTCATTCAGCCGTTCCAGATTCTGAAACAACAAGGGCAGCAGCTGTGCATCGTGCATGGCTTTGAGCAATATTTCCGCGTCCTCAGGGCTTTCACTCAGAGTATCTGCGTCTAAGATTTCACTCAGCAGTGCAACTGCAGAGAGGGCGATGTCCGTGTTGTCGTGTGATAACAGGCCAAGGATAGACGGCAGCACCTTAAGTTGTACCAAGGTTGCGAAGAGATCGGGCGCTGTGGCGATGACGTTCAATCCCTAATATAAACGCATCGATAGCACATCAGGTTAGAATCAAACGGTCCATAAGTCTGGCTCACGAAGGGACCAATGCAACCCGGCTACATACTCGGTTCAATATAGAGCCTCGTGGATCAGAAAAAGTTCGAACACACCATTGAAATATTGCGACGTCCTGATGAATCCCAGGTAATACTTTAGCAAGCGCGCGCCTCTCAAGCGCATCATACTCTATCTGAATTGACTTACTTTTCGCTTGTCACACCAGTCGGTAACAAAACTGAAATGGATGGACAGTGCATTATACCCACTAATCGATAAGCCTCTATCGTTGTGTGGCAAAATCAATCGACCTCTAAGCTATGAAAGAGTACCACCATGCAACACATTGGCGCTTACCTGTATGTCGTCACTTAAATCCATTTCGCTCTCCAAAAACTTTGTGGGTTCGTCAGGGTATCGCACACGCATTTGCTGATTTTTATACAATTTCTTCTCGAAACCAAGTACCAGTTTTTTCAAATCAGCGGCGTTGAAATCAGTACCCTGCATATACAAATGCATATCTTATGTTAGTAAATGGGTCTGAAGAGTCCGAATATACGATTTATCCCATACAATGAAGATGAGACAGAATCGAGGTATCAAGATCACATATGCTAGGATCTGCATGTTATATGCGACCCTCACGCCTGCCAGAAAATAGCAAAATCTACGATTGGATTCTCTGACCCACACACATCCGTGATTCAAAATAAGAAAGGAATAATTAACATTCTTGTGCACAAGCCCATGGCAGCTGCTCAGGCACATGTGGTCAACAACATACATTTGTGATACAATTTCTACCACAAAAAAAACCCCCACCTCTTCTTCATCGCCCTCGATCATGGCCAGAATCCTGGCTTGTTCATCGTCATCATCATCGTCTAGAATCATGTACGAGATGTGCAAATGTGATTCAGATAGCATACCAAATGCTTGTACTCAAACTGGAATAAGCAACCTTACAGAAAGTACCGCCAGCCTTGGCAACGACACCAATAAATGCGAAGGAAACGATGCCGATCACTAAAGGATTAGCGCGATGCGTGCGTAGCAATGTATCAGCCACGTCTCAAGAGAATTGGTATGTGTAGTCTGGACAAAAGAGATGACATGTGGGTTCATTTTGTATCATTGAATTCGATAAACTCACTACAAAGATGCTCACGTTACAATAATTCGATCTTCGATATGGAAAGAAAAATCAACCTTTACAGGAGAAGTTAGAATCTATCGGTCCAAAATTTCGACCTAGAGTTACACACCTCCGCCTTCTTGATCTTCAGGATCTACATCATCGATTGGTCGCTTTTCGTTGCGTTCTTCAATGATCGCTGGTGCCTGCATACAGGCATAGTCGAAAGAGTGGATATATGCAGCTAGAAATAAGAATCATATACAGCTTGCAGTGCCGACGTTGCCGGGGTGATTACTCACGGTAAAAATAGGGACTTCAAGAAAGCGCAATAGATCACATATATGGTTCATTAAGTGTACTTGTTGAAGTGTTTAGTGACTTCATGCACTAGCCTTCAAAACTAACTAAATAAAATCCAGGTTTTTGAAATATATTCGAGAATGAAAGATGTATGAATTCGTGTACTTGCAAATGTTTGTGCCTAGAACATTCGAGAAATCGACCAACATGAACATAGCAAGTGAGATTGATATCATATAATATATGCAAAACATATATGATATACAAAACAAAAAAACATTATAGTAATGCGTGTACACGATATATATACATATATATATATATATATATATTATATATATATATATATACATGTATTCATATATCTATGTAGATACACATGGCTATATCTACATATATATATATATATATATAGTACACACACACACACACACACACAACACACAAGCGCGCGCACACACAGAAAATATTCAATACAATAAATATCGAATGAATGCGCGTGCACGATATATAAATTTTTATGAAAACACAGACACACAAACACACAAACACACAAACACACAGACAGAAACAAACACAGACACACAGATACACACACACACATATATACACACACACACACACACACACACACACACACACA